TGGATGTATTCAAACTACCACAAAACTTAAGTTTGAATACCTTGGTGAATAAAATAATGGAAATAATAGTGTAGTAGGTGATAATATCATATTTAAATCATATCTCTTTTTGACATTTTGTGTAATCTTATCAATATCTCATGCAATGTGTTTTCTATTTTGGTTCTTCTTTGGGGATGACCATCTGATTTCTCCATTTATGTATAAATTTGTAAAGAAAAAACACTCAGTGTTTTACATTAAATTAATAAAATATGATTCACATAAAATGGATTCACTTTAATATTCCTTGATTCAGCATTATCATGATGTGTTTGTTCAAGAATTTTAAAATAGGTTGAGAATTTACTTCAAACTAAATTGAATCTAATTTTGGAGTTAATACATTACGATTTTCTCTTACAATAGTAGTATTAGCGAGGTTCTTTATGACTGACACCGCTTCTCGCATCCCAGTCGCCACGTTCTTCGATCTTCCCAATCCTCCTCTTGAAGATCTTGTTCCTTCATCACCTTTTCTATCTCATTTTCCCTTTTTTTATTACATGCTTCCTGTTTCTTAGAGGTAACCATTTTAAAATTTTCGTAGGCCATCAACTTTTCGTCATCCTTTGGATATGACCATACCATCTCAATCTTTTAGCATCAATTACATCCATAATATCAATTTCAATACCCATTCGATATTTTATGTCAATATAGGGGACTTTGTCCCGTAACTAGCGGAACCTTGCAGACGTACTGCTCTTCATCTCCCTCATTCTCCTTCCCTCTCCCTTTCTCTCTCTTTGTCTCTTCCTCAGTCTCTCTCTCTCTCCCCGTCTGTCTGCCTCTGCTTTTGGTGTGTCATATACATTTAATTAGATTATGCACGTTTCAGAGCAGGTGAGGCCTTTGGCCTCACCTTCGACCTCTCCTCAAAATTTTAGTTTTTAATGCCCTAGAATGCTTTGTTTAAGAGTTATTTCTGTGGTGATAAGGAAAAAGGGAATAAATGCAATTTTTGTCAAAATTGAGATAATACTAA